GGTGATGGGAAGGAATTGGAGATAATTGAGTGTCAGAAGCATGTATTTTAATCATAACAGTTATTTTAATGTTGACATTTTCATATATGGCGGGAAAAATTATAAATAGCTTTTTGAAGTATCCGGTGTACAAAATAAAGGAATTTATGAGAGGCTATATTTTAAAAAGGTTTATGACACAGACCTATATATATATATATATATAGTGGTGACCCAACAATATAGCGCCAACAAAATAGTGCGAAATTTCCCGATAAAATAGCGCAAGACAAAATACCGCACACTTATATATAATGTGTACTAAAGTACCGGATTTTAGTAAGTGAAGGTCTTGGGCAGCATTTTTTTTTGTTCCTGTCTCAATTTTCTTTAATATTTATAGATCTCGAAGTATACCCTAGTTGCAGAGAAAGAGAGTATTTTTAAATTTTATTCTCCTTTTTCAACAATGTTTAAAATGCATAACCTGCTTAAAGAAATACGTTTTTGAAATGTGAAGACCCCGTTTAGATATAAGTTGATGTGTGTGTTACACACTTGTGTTATAGAATTATCAGAAATCTTGATTATCAGCGGAATCTCTCTTTAATCAAAATAGGGCGTCTCTTGCCGCAACATTGGCAAACTTAGTTAAAATGGCGATCACATTTCTTATACGGCCAAATTTGTGTTTCATCTCAGGCTGTGACTGACCAATTCAATCATTAATTTTGTTATTTCCTTTTGTCTTTGACTAACACCATCACATAGATATCAAAGTTCAGGAGTGTCAAAGTGGATTGTAGGCCTCAATCAACTTCCCTTCTCTCCCAAGCACACTCTCCATTAGAAAAGAATATAAACCCCGCCACGCCCTCCTCTGGTTATGGTACATTCTTTTCCATGACAAAAATCAGCAGTTGTAAATTCATGAAAGTGTGTACATCTGACACGTATGAAAGTATCTTTGCGTGTTTTTGAAGTGCTCTTTTGGAATCTAAATAAATTATTTGAAATAATTGCTTAAAAAAAATGGCTTTATTCATATTTTACGATATCTAAAGTCTTTCTTGCAAAATGACCGAAAACATTTTTTCCGCGCTATTTGACGGCGCTATTTTGTTCGCGCTATTTTGTCCGCGCTATTTTGTCGAGGTATATATATATATATATATTAGCTAGAGAGAGAGAGAGAGAGAGAAACTGAAAAACTGAAACTAATTTTAATCCGATAATGATCAGATAACAGACCCATTTATATAGATTATAATGCACGTAACTCATTCTCAAGCGTAAGGGAAGTCGCCCCGAATCTAGGAAACTTGTTTTCAAAGTTTAGAAATAATGCAATACCATTTATATATTTATATATATCTATATACATATATATAGAGAGAGAGAGAGAGATTAGATAGATATATAATGTAAGGTTTGTGTATGTATGTATGTTTATCGGGCATAGAAATCATATTGTTTGACCAATCTTAATAACATTTGGCATGAATATTCCTTAAATCACGACGGTAACCGAACTGTATGTAAAATGTCTCTCCTACAACAAGAAGGTTCTAAAAAGAAAAAAAAAAAACTACATTTATCTCTATTAATGAACGAAACTTTTTAACAAATCGGGTGAACCCTTTTTCACAGTATTTTATATTAGCTTTGAATATGTCGGCTAAATGGGTAGACCCATTTTCATAGTCCACTTTCATTTTCGTGTGAAAATTAAAATCTGATTAAGGGAACATCTTGCCAGATTTGACATAGATCTAAGTCTAATGTAAGGGCGGACTGGCTAAATGGGCATTCGGGCAAATGCCCTGTGGGTATCTTCCCAAATGGGCGGTAGAGCCACCGAAAGGGCCGCATGGATGCCACTATGGAACGTATGAAATTGTTCAAAGGTTTCATACTGTTCTCTTGTAAAACGAACCCTCTGAGCGCGTCGTGTTTTTTCAAAAATCTTTGACAGACTCTGCAGAGTCTAATACTGATGTAATGTAACACATTATCCGAAATAATTAATAGCCTACATCCGTATCCTTTTAGGGCTCACACATTTAGCTATGAAAAAGCAACATAAGCCTTATAGTTCACTGTATCATGTATGTGTACAGTTATCATTACATTATCAAAGTTGACTTAATGACTATAAGACAAGTAGACCCAGAATTGGAGGCCCATCATATGACAAGTTATAGGACGGATGGTATAGAATTGCCCGGGCCGATTTGGACACCCAGTCCGCCCCTGGTCGAATGCATTTGTGATATACAAACTAAGGTCATTAAACAATGGAAACTCCGCCCCTACCTCTTTCTTTTTTCTTCCTATAAAAAAGTGTCAGTTACTCAGCAGATCAGAATGCACCATTTAAAACATTTCACCATTCATGTACGTTGTGGGATACAACTCTCAGAATGATGTTATGTTAATGGAGCTCTGATACTTTGAATCCAGTAGCTCCCCTTTCTTAGAGCTGGGTATTCAAGAGAGCAGATAATAAAATAAGCACAAAACCCCGACTTCTCTTTTTTTTTTTTATGTCATAAAACATGGCGGCTATAATTTCCGCCCAAGAGATTTTCACAAGGGCTAGATTTGGCACTTAAATTTGTGGTTCTAACAATGTTGCTTACACGTGAAGTGTCAACTGTTATGTGGAACTTTGAAGGCAAGATTTAAAAAAAAAATAGAATTAAGATTAATGTGCTGGTATTTTCAAAACACTTTTCATGTTTTCTGGCACAAATAAAAAAAAATGACCTGATTAAATATCCAGATGTACACAAAGTTAAAAACTAATCTTTTGTTGCTTACGCTTTGATCCTAGAGTCACATACAATAGGATTTCAGCAATGGAACAGCATTTAACATAAGTTTGAGATCTGGTTCAAGGTTGCCCAATTTAGTAAGCATGCAGAGCCGGATTTACGGCAGTTCGAAGGTGCAGCTGCACAGGGCATCACTTTCTTATAACCTTTACAAATAAAAGATTTAACTTGCAAGTACTGGTACAACATTGTGCTTATGATGTTTTGGGATTTACAATAATATCTTAATAGTTAACAGGACCAATAAGAACAAATCAAATCTCGTTTTAAATGTAATATGTTTTTTTTTTAAATAAAAGGATTGATTGATTGTTTGATATTTGGCAAATCGGCACATTCTAGGCCATGTCGTGCCCAATTGTATAACTATATTTAGTTATAAGAATAAACTCGGCCTTAGAAACAGATGACTTTAGCATCATCTACCCTATAGAGAGCAAGGTCCGAAAGGGTACTTGACTTTTTAAAAATTATTTTAAAAATTATTATTGACACTAATGTAGAGAATCTTCAAAAAAAAAGTAATGAAATTACGAAAAAGGAACGTGACTCGAGAGAAATTTGACCATCCTGATTGTCTGTCGTAATAAGACGGTAAACTCTATAATCACATTGGCCAAAACCTATTTCATGATTTCTTCGAAAGAGCGTTTTGAATCTTAATAAAAAATATTTTAGTTTGCTAAACATCCGTAATAGTGTCCTTTTTCTTTGATTCCAATTGTTTGTCCTTATAAAAAATAAAGACCGCCTTCTCACTCACCTTGTCAGTACGCCTACAGTTTGAGAAACGCTGGATAAAGACTTACTCTTATTAATTACAAACTATCTTAACTTACCAAAACGCTCAGACAAGGTATCACAAGGACTGCATGACATTATTAGAAACGTGAAAAGATCAAATTAACAGCATTCAAACATTTCCGAACTAAACACCCCTGTAGGTAAAAACAGTCACAACAACAGGATCACATTGCTGCAGTAAGACAGTGTTGAAGGGGGAACACAATAGCCTACAGACTCGGGGGAAAAAATAACACTGGTTATGTATTTATTGGTGTGTGTGTTAAGTCTGTGAAAATATAAAAAAAAATATTCTTTATCATATTTATGTTGTTATTTCTTTTCTTTTCCTCTTGCACTATCAAACATAAACATCTCTAAGTCTCTATACAAAATAAATTTGCTAATAACTAATCATCAAAACATGTTGGTTACAACTACGAGTTGATCATGCAGTTCACCAGGGGTGACCAATTTTTTTCAGTCAGGGCCCATTTAAGTTTCCGACACTTTATTACGGGCCAAATAAAATCTTTAAGTTTATTGGAATTGAGCCTCTGGGGATTCATTCTAAACTGTGCGCATAAGTTTCAAGAGTCGAATAGAGCCGCACTCCAGCTGGATATGGGCCCGCAGGCCGTAGTTTTCACTGCAGTACACTTAATGATAAAAAGGCAGCGGCAAGTAACGCGGATGAGAAGTCTTTGTTGTTTAGCCAATGCAAAGAATTAATTTTCCCTTCAGGAACCAAGAAGAAATGATTTTGTTCTCATTTCCTTACAATATCAGTGAAGGAAAGGCATTGCTTTTTTTTAAATATTATCTTTGAGAAAAGAAATGATCATGTTGGCCTATTTAAAAAGATATACTAGTGATAAAAGTATAGTGATAACCAAGGCTAATCGAATAGCTAGTCAGAACTGTAGCATCGAAATGATGTGCGAGATGACAAGCAATGTAGGCCTATAATTATCCATTTTTTGTTTTTATTACAATCAATACATTTGTTCCCGGATCTAGCTTTCGATAAACCGTGCTGGAGCCGAACCAGGGAGTCTCCAGCTTTGCAGCCTCAATTTAGTTGCAAATGGACAATGATAAGGCTAAACTTATGGGATATGGACTCATGCCCACAGCAGAAGAGACCATAGCAGTAAGAGTTCCCAATTATCCAACCTTTTTAACAAACTCGGGAACCCTTCGGTACACACTAGGCCGAGTTGTCGAGATTATACTTAACTACATGTAGGCCTAATTATATCTTCAATTTGAATTTGTATGACTTAATGTGTGCCTGTATTTGATGGTATTCTCAAAAAGTTAAAGAATTAACTAAATACGAAAAGAAAACAAAAATCCTGAACTTAAGTTTGAGCAAACAAATAAATATCTAAAATCAATCTTATTGATTGTTATTTATTTTTGTTTATTCCACTTTAAACCATATGTTAGCATTGCAATGCTGTGAGATTCATATTAAACAGTCATGTTATTAATTGTGTTGTCTTTATTTTGTTTACAGTCATTATCAGGACTCATAAGCAAATGACATCTATACAACATAATCAGTCTTAGTTCGACTACTTCACTTCCCAACTTTTCAAGGCGAGTGTGATCGTTTTTCATTATAAATCATTGTTTCAGTCGCAGAGGATGTCTGTCGTCATTCAGGACAAAATATAGCAGCGTCAACTTAAAGCCAGATACTCGAGCATCTCCTGTCTTATACTTTAACTAAGATGTTGCTCTGAGAATTCCAACAAACATGACAACAAAAACAGCAACAAACTAATGCGATCGTAACAACTTAATTTTTTTGGTACCTATAACTTTTGTGTGTATCTGAGTGCAGAAAGTAAATACCGTAATCTACTGAATAAAACTCCAACCGTAATCTACTGAATAAAACCCCAACCGTAATCTACTGAATAAAACCCCAACCGTAATCTACTGAATAAAACCCCAACCGTAATCTACTGAATAAAACCCCAACCGTAATCTAAGAATAAAACCCCAACCGTAATCTACTGAATAAAACCCCTCCTTAAATCTAAACCGCAGACTATTTAGAAGGGGATGGGAGTTGGAGGGAAAAAATGAAGTCGAGATTCTTTACTTTCTTATTTAAGATTTTGTGAAGGTAAACACGTTTGTTATTCTTTTTTAATTATGGTACATCTGGTCATTTTAAACACAGAGTCATCAATGAAATGGTCCGTGAAAAAAAATTCAACATGGCATAACAGTTACCAAATGTAGTGCGTTAATCAATTCATATTATTTTTGTTACCGACCGCGAATCCATCAAGCTCTGTCCAAATTTCGGGCCCCTATAAAAAAGGAAAATATATAATATTACGGTAGATATGTTCTTTCTTGCGGTGTCAAAGGCACAGTTCACCTTTTGTAATACCCTCAGGTTATTCAAAAGTCCACACAAAAATGGAAGATTAACACAAGCAAATAATTTAAACAATTTTAAAGAGGAAATAGAATATCTTATGAGATATCACTGTCATCTTCATAAGTTGTATAATTAAATATAAAAAGCTTTGAATAGACTCCAAATAAAAATTGTGTTGATCGTAAAGCCGTGTTATCAAAATAGTCCGTTAATACATACACATTTTGTCTCTCTGAGTTTGTTTCATATCACAGTCTACACAGTCCATTGCGTCTCACAGTCTATCAAGTAGCACAGTTTGCTACAAATCCGTTTGTTTCCTAGCTGTCTATTGCGTATTACCGTTTGTGTAACAACTTATTGAATATCACAAGCTTATTTATTTTTTACTTTGTTTTTCTGTATGACATTTTCTTTCTAAAATCTACATCTCACTCAAGTCTTTCCCTTTTTGAGTTCGTCTATCCATCTCTCCTACTCACCCTCTATTTCTCGCATAATCTTTCTCTATCACCCTTTCCCTCTTAATCTTCCTCTGACTGCGTGTATCTACTCCCAGTTCATTAAAAGCAAAATAATCAAAACTATGTGACTTAAAACTACATAAAGAGACATTACACTACAGATCCCTATCTAAAACTACACAACGTAACATCACTACTACATCACTATCATTAGATAACATTAGACACTACATAACTCTATCATTAGATAACATTACACACTACATAACTCTATCATTAGATAACATTACACACTACATAACTCTATCATTAGATAACATTACACACTACATAACTCTATCATTAGATAACATTACACACTACATAACTCTATCATTAGATAACATTACACACTTCATAACTCTATCATTAGATAACATTACATGCTACATAATTCTATCATTAGATAACATTAGACACTACATAACACTGCACATGTCCATCATTGAGTTTTTCGTACATTTCTTTTTCTTGTTAGCACACCCAGAATCTCCATTCCGCTGGCCACGTTTGCAGCTTGCTGACCTTTCTTGCGCAGTCCTTCTTTTTTTCAACACATTGACCTTGTGGACTTGTGTCTCTTCTGTCAATGTCTCTTCATTTGTCCCATTCTGGACGTTATCCCCCTCACGTGCAGTATTATCCGGTGCCAAGTTGTTCTCATCCCTGGCTTTTGGTCTGAAACGTTTGAGATTTACTTTATTACAAAACATTTTAAAGTCAATGTACATGTATGTATACATAATGCAGCTACAATCTATGATACGTTACTGCAAAGACGCGAGAATAACATGCGATTCTAATTTGAAAAGAAATGGTTTGGAGAGATAAGCCTTTTTTAAAGGCTAATAACGTAAGTTCCTCAACTTGAATTACTTTGGAAATTCCCGTTCTATAAAGTATAGAAGACCTACGTGAGTGTATTTTCAGTAAGGAAATTAGAATAAATATTATATTTTTATTATGAACTCTGTAGGTGTCAATATTAAAAGTGTTGTTTTTTTTTAATGTAGACTTTCTTCTTAAATACTAAATAGGTACACTACCTAACGATAAACTTTGAAAAGGCAATTATAAACAATGTTTTGTAGCTTGCAAAATGATGTAATGCCAGTCAGAAGTCTAAAGAGATGTAGGGATATGTTAGGGGGTGGGGGTGGGATATGACCCCTTAAACATAAACATAGCCTTTCACATATTCAAAACAATTTGTAAAACATTTCAAACCCTGGCCTCAAACATTTTGTAAAATATTTCAAATCCTGGCCTCCAACATTTTGTAAAACATTTAAAATCCTGGCCTCAAACATTTTGTAAAACATTTCAAATCCTGGCCTCAAACATTTTGTAAAACATTTCAAATCCAGGCCTCAAACATTTTGTAAAACATTTCAAATCCTGACCTCAAACATTTGTAAGACATTTCAAATCCTGACCTCAAACATTTGTAAGACATTTCAAATCCTAGCCTCAAACATTTTGTAAGACATTTCAAACCTGGCCTTAAACTAGATCAAAACTCACATTACTTCCTCCGACATTGCTGTTACAACCACTGCTGCCTTTCTAACTCTGCGTCTGCGTTGTTTGGTACCCTTGTTGGCAGTAGACACATGCTGAGGAACAGAGCAATATCCAGTTGTTGGTTTTTGTTTCACTATATGCTATGCCTATGGTATAAGGATTATGGGGGTGTCGCTTTATTTATGCCATCTCTGAGTTGACGTCTGCTAATGGTTGGATCTAACACTAAGCCTTGAGAAGGATTTCTTCCAGCTGTCAAGATTAAATTCTTCGCTCCGACTTCTTGGAATGGCACGTAGTAAATTTTAAAAGTTTTATTAAATTCTCTTACGAAGGTGGCCCTTTGAGCGTCGTGTTAAAAAAAAAATCCTTTACAGACTGCATTGTTGGTCCTAAGTCCTAATACTAATTTAACACATTTTCCGAAATAATGTAATGGCCTACATCCGTAGACAGTGCTACTGTAGGCTTCTTCCTTTAGGGCCCTACGCACTTAGCAATGAAAAAGCAACATAGGCTTATATTTCTTTTAAAGATATAGAGCATGCGTTCAGTTTTCAATACATTATTTAACTGAACAGAATGATTTTCAGAACAGGTAGGCCTATATTTGGAGGCCCACCGTATGATATACAATTTAGGGGCTGGAGTGTATAAAAATGCCACGGCCAATTTTGACATCCAGTCCGCCCCTGGTAATAGACCTAATTAAGGTAATGTCATATTTAATATAAAATGTGTGCCATTAGGTTGAAAGTAACAGATCAAATTTTCAAAGGACGGATAGAACTAAAGAAACTATACCTCTGGGATTGTGCTTACTAAGATGTTCATGCCACTTGGTGATAATGTCACAGCTGTAGGTAACAGTACTTCTCCCTTGCAATCTGTTAGTTTAAAACCCATACAATTCGTCTTGTTTGTCTCTGCCATATTGAACGTATCCATTTGAAGTAGATCTGAAAATAAACAGCAACAGAATATCCGTTAGGCCTTACGTATTTAATTATACAACATAAATGACAAATGGAGATTAGAGATTCTCATTAATGGCGGAAAAACTATAAATAGCCAAGCTTTTTGATGTATCCGGTGTACAGAAAATAGGAAATGTTGATAAGCTAGGTTTTTTTTTTTTTAAGTTATATGATAAATTGTAGTCACTTTTTGGCAATGCAGAATTTAACTTTCTAAGCGCTTCCGTTTCTAACACATTTTTTTGAAAATTTAGTTGGCAACATTGAAGTTAATTAAGCTTCCTTGTTAGAGGAAGTTAGTTTATCGATGTAATAACCCTGCCTTGTAGTAGGTCTATCGCTGCGCACTATAAAGAACACGACATAAATGGTGAAGGGAGAACTGTGTTATGATTGATAGTTGTTTATATTAGCCTTGTTTTGTAATTTACTTTTTAAACTTGTGTATTGTTATTGTTCCCTTGGCGTTGAGTTTTCTGACAGATATCTCATTTATGTCTGGAAATGGGATTTTTTCGACTCAGCCGAAGGAAGTTGCGATCATCAATGGCTTCTACTCATACATCAATTATTATTTAAAGAACTAAAGGTAGACCTTCGGGACCTAAGTTCCAGACCCCACATCAGCAAGGAGAACATACGGCACGCCTCCATAAAATTCTTATTGACGAAGATCATGATATGGAAACTTTCAATGAGATCCTTGGCTATTTAGACCACATCCATGAACAAATGGACACAGTAAGAAGCGAGATTCAGGAACAAATGGACTCAGAAGTGATAGCCAAGAACAAATAGGTACACTGGGCTCGCAAGTGAATACCATGCAGGAGCAGGTAACCATAATAAATGAAAATATAAATCGGAAGGTCGACGGAGTAGAAAAAGATGAACTAAAGGTTCAGAATAGGACTCAGCAGGGCGCCGGTGGCTAATGCAGGATCAGTATTACCGAGGACTCCGGAAAGATGAAGCCTCCAATGTTTGATGGGTCTGTCTCCTGGTCAATCTTAAGAAGACAGTTTCAGAAAGACGCTAAGGTCATCAAGTGGAGCAGCGAGGAGGAGAAAGCGACTGCTCTATTTCTGGCCCTAAGAGGAGAGGCCTCCGAGCTGCTCCGATCCATTCCAAAACAGCAGTACTACGATGCTATCGTCCAGGCTATGAAACTCAGAAACGGGGACTAACATTTACAAGAAGTTTACAGAGTTTAGTTAATGACCCGAGAACATCGGACCGGTAAAACCCTACAAGAGCTGGAGACGGACCTTCAACGTCTCGCTCATCTGGCTTATCCGACAGGAATTTCTGGACGTGATCTTCCCTGATGTCATTCGAGACCTGGAGGTAAAGAAAGCAGTCAGAACTAGTACCAAGCGTAAGGCCAGCGAGCTCTGTTGTACACTCTGTCATGTGAAGTCGCATCAAACAATATTCACCAAGTTAAGAGTCTGGAAAATCAAGAAGCACTCACACAACTACTCAGAAGGATGAAGGAGGCACTGGGGGAACGTAGACAGATGTCATTGTAAGACCAGTGTAAATTGCTAGAACAGTGGTGAACCTGGCCAAAGGATACTCGTCCTGGTCGGA